TTCAAAACTTGGCCCATTGGATCTCATAGTTGACTGCATTTCAATAATCACAATGAGAACCTGACATACTCTCTGCCTGAACTCAGTCCTCCATTTGTGCAAGGCCATCACACTCCAAGAAGAGTAGGATATCCAGGAAAGTCAAAAGAACAGCTTATCTGACTCCGGAACCAGACTGAAATCCAAGAGTATCTCCGCTCTGGCCAGGCCTGGGACATTCTTTGCCTGGGTATTGCATTTTTCTCCATGTGCATTGATTATCTTAGAATAGGAACGTATAAAATTATAGCATTAAAAACTTTTCAAAGTCAACATCAATGCATCTAGTCCATGTAATTAAAAAAGGAGAACAGGGCAATTTGAAGTAGCTTACGAACTGAAAGTGAAATTTGCTTTAGATAAAAAATTTGTTTGAAGCCCTACATGGCTTCATTATTTGGAGAGCAATTTAATGTCAGAGGTGAATCAAATCTTGAGTGGCATGTCAATATCAGCATATGAGTACTAGAACTGAAGTCAGATTTCCCTTTACATTTTACTACATCACTAAACACCTTAATCTAATTTTTTATTTTTGAAAATGGCAGGCTATTCAGTCTTCACTCTTTACTACACTAGTATTCATAGACTTCAGAAGTGAAAATTTAGGATTATATTCCCGCAGCCATATTTCTGGTATAATGGCAGACTGATTCAGACCAGTTTTTTTGTTTTTTTTTGAGATCAACCAAGGCCTAGAAACTTGGTTAGACCTGCCTTTACAGTATAACACTGTACCTTGTTAACCTATTGCCGCTGGGAAAATGAATAAAAAATGGGGAAAATGCTGTGCTCATTTTTTATATTTTTTGTGAAATGTCTCTACACTAGATGGCTCTGCCTCACCTGATTTCACCTTTCCTTGAATTGGTAGAAAAATGTATTTTTACTAGTGCTATGAATATCAACGGTGTTATTTTTATTATAAACATTATAATTACTCTAATGTTATAAACATTAGTAATAGCAAAATAAGATAACAAAATATTTTTGTAAATTAAAGAAAAGGGTAAACGGGCAAGACAGGCAGTACTTGTAATTGGCTCATTGGTGATTTAATACAAGTGTAGCCATCTATGTGCAAAAACAATTAAACAAATAAACTCACAGTAGGCATGGCATGGACGTACGTGACATGCCCGTCGCGAATGGGTTAAAACATTGAATTCTAGAGTGAGTTACCTTGTAGCTTATAGTTTTGCCAAGGAGTGCAGAGTTAAGGTAGATATACTGATGGCAGTATATAGTTCAAGTTGGAGAAGCATGGAAGGCTCTGTGTGAAAGAAATAACTCATTCCTAAATTGAGTAGACTTTCTCCTGGTTATTTTTTCAATCACTGTGGATCCATATTCGAAAGAGAGATGATTTGGTCGATGAATGGGGACAACTAGCATGACTGTCAGTTCTTTTTTGCATGACTTCATGGTTTTGTTGTGGTATAATTTCTTAATAATACATTAGATATATCTTAGTAAGAAATTAGTTTCATTAGTTAATTTAAGTTGAAATACTGTACGTATTGTCTTTCTGTAGAGTTTCAGATTATACTTTTTTTCTTATTTTAGTTTTAGCAAAAGTTGGCTGAAGTTGTATTACATGTTTAATCTTTTTTGTTAACAAGTCATTACTGGAGATTATTAGACGTTATTGAACAGGAATGAGATGTTTCAGCCAAGGGAAAAGTTGAACATTGGGTCTTGTAAAGCATAAAGAAGCATGCCTTTGCTTGCATTTGTGAGATAATGCAACTGTAGCCTGATCAGTGTTGCTTTTCTGACATAGCAAGAGATGAATAGCAAGTTGTAGAATGTGTCCCATGCATGATGAACCTCCTACCAGTCAACACCAGACTCGAGACAATCTTGAGGTAGACAGACAGACACAAGTTGAGTGTAACACGTCCCTGAATCTCAAGCAAAGGACAAAGCCACTGCCTTAGAGATACAAAAAAAGACTGCCGCCTGGAAGAAGGTAAAGTAAAAGTTTGTTATGAGACTTTGTGTGTGTGTGTGTGTGTGTGTGTGTGTGTGTGTGTGTGTGTGTGTGTGTGCATGTGTGTGTGTGTGTGTGTATGTGCGCGTGTGTGTATCTTCTGACATGATAGGAAGACTTTTGAGCTGTAATGACATTGATTTATATATATATATATATATATATATATATATATATATATATATATATATATATATATATTTATGTATGTGTGTATGTATATATATATATTTTTTTTTTTTCCCATTTCTTTTTGTTTTTCTTAAGTTTTTGCAGAATGATTTGATTTTAAGGCAAAGAAATACTAGTCAAAGAACTTTCAGTAGAAAAAAGCTTAGAACGATTACAAAGATGACTTCAAGTGATAGCAGGATTTTTGTAAAAAAGGAACTATAGTAAATACATAGCACTTCCTTTAGAGCTCAAGAATACTTTAGAGTACCAGCAACATACAGTAAGTATGCAGTGCCTACCAGAATTTTTAGCTTCTTAGAACTTTGGTGCTTGTTTCATGTATATGATATACACATGCATCACTTGAATAGCATGGATTAGATGAGTGTGCTATTATCAGAATATAACTGAATGGAGGAAGCGGTATGCTGTCTCATCAGTTCAGTCTAACTGCTTAGCCTGCTTTTAGTCTTGTGATTATTAGAGCATTATATAAAGAGAGCAAAGCATGCATATAAAGATCAACCACGTTGGAACCTTTTTATGTTTGTTTCTTTATGTGCAAAAGACTATTTTTGTCATATTGGTACTTTTACTTGACACCTTAATTATAAGAGATTCTTGAATTCACTGGTTTAGATATAGCTCACATTTCCCTTCCCCCTTTGAACAGTGAGTCACAAATTCGGCTACGGTTTGATGGATGCTGGCAAGCTGGTGGAGCTAGCAGAGAAATGGACGACAGTTCCCCCGCAGCACGTGTGTCAGAGCGTGAAGGATAGAACTAAGCAGTATGTGGCTTGTTTCATTGGTTGAAAAGTTATTATATATTATATGATAATGCTGATGTGAACAATGAATGTGATATTTGCATTTGATTAGAAGATAATAGGAGTCACCACAAATATCTGTTATTATAATTTCTTCAGTCTTATTGGCTTCTGTTTGTCATCCAAGTATTCATAAATTTTCATATTTGCAGGACAATACCAACCATTACGGGGGAGTCTGTGGTTGCTGAAATCACTACAGATGGATGCGCTGGAACTTCAGCTGAAGTGCGGTACTTGGAGCATGTGCAAGCAAGAGTGTCCTTGCGCTTCCTGCCCAGAGGAAATATCAATATTAGGCTTGTGTCTCCATCAGGTAAATTTTGATGCTCTTGGATGTATATCTGATGTGAAGAAGTGTTGAATGCTTTTTCTCTCAGTCTTTTCATTTTTCTAGAAGTTAGATGGATGATTAGTATTTATTTTTCTTATTCTAACCATGATATTTTAAGACTTGATTGCCTTCTTTTGCTCATATATACATTTACAAAATGCATTTCTACTGATACATAAATAATTTACTGATAAATCAGTAAGTTATTTGGGCACTTGCATTGGAGTTTCCTTACTGACTGCATCTCAACAGGGACAACATCCACGCTTCTCTTTGAGAGACCTCGAGATGTCTACTCGGAGAAGTTTGATGACTGGCCCTTCTTGTCTGTCCACTTCTGGGGAGAGAAAGCAGCTGGAACTTGGAGGCTTATTGTGACCAATGCAGGAACAAGACAAGTTCATCACCCAGGTCAGTGTCTTGTTCTCTTTTTCTTTGGCAGTAAAGGAAATTGTAGTGCATTTTCTGTGATGTAAGAATGATGAATAGGTAAGAAGTACTAACAATATTTGTCAATAGAAAAGTTATTTCACCACTTCTTATATCTTACCAAGTATTCCTCTATTATTATTCTTTGTGTTTTTTGTGGCAGGTGTCTTGACGCAGTGGCAGCTCATCCTTCACGGCACGCGGGAGCCACCTGGCCGCCTCCGCTCCGAGCAACCCCAGGGGTCAGAATCCTTTTCCTTCCCCCAGGCCCATCCCACCCAGTCCTCCTCAGCACCCCTCTTCCCCTCTCGAAGACCCTCTCACAGTCCTTTGACCATCAGGTACTTGCAAAAACCTTCTGGTGGTCATATGTCAGATAGTAGGATTGTCCCTCAGGGAAATTTCAGTAGTCGTTTGTTAGACTTTTATGTAGGATATCCTTTGGCTGGACTTTGTTACCTCACATTGTGCATATCCCTTGGATACTTGAAGATTTCTTAGTTGCTCGTCCCTTAACAAGGATCCTTATAGGACAGAACATTTGTTTGAATGAACATTGAGCTTTCCTTCTCATCGGTTTTCTTAATAGTGGGAGTTATTGAAAATAATGATATCTGTGACATTTTTATAGAGTACAAAGCCAATTCAGATATAGTATCATGATTCACAACTGTAAAGATAGATGACAAATAATGTATATTTTTATATATTTCCATTGCAATATTTGTAAAACCTTATAACTTTTTCTGTCAACAGTATTTTAGACCAGATCCTCGCAGGGTCGACCCCAGATGCCACATACGCCACAGCTGATGGGAAAATTATACCTGGGCCAAACCAAGTGCCTGCAGCTGAGAATAGTGACAATGCTGATAATAAGTATTTTGAGTCGGAGGTTTGCCACAGCCAGTGTCTTGGGGGCTGCTCTGGGCCGGGACCTGATAAGTGTAAAGCCTGTCATCATTATAGTCTTGAAGGGTAAGAAAAATATTGTTTATCTGTGTTATATATTATCTGATACATTCTGTTCAGATTTAAGAGTTGCATTAGATAACATGCATCTTCTGCTCCTCTAAACTCGCTTTTAATACATCTCCAGGGAGTGTGTTGGTAGTTGTCCTGAAGGAACTTATGGGTCAGAGGACAGGGAATGCCTGGGTTGCGATTCCTCCTGTGCTCTGTGCAGTGGACCAGCTCAGAACCAGTGCGTAGCTTGTCATCCTAGCGCGTTATATGTTCTCCACCTTGGGATCTGTGTTGAAACTTGCCCAGAGGGATATTATCCAGGTAGGTGTATTATATTTGGTTTTGGTTTTTCTATCTTAGTTATTTTGTATTTTTCCACCATACTTAATTTATACACATTTTTTGTCTTACTTTATTTGGTATGATATTAGATTCCTTTAGTAAATATTAAGCATGGACAGATGAAGAAAGAGATTATGTATTGGTTTAAAATATATATATATATATATATATATATTTTTTTTACAGTGAATGGAACCTGTGTAAACTGTGGGGGCCATTGCACCGATTGTACTGGCCTAGGACAGTGTAACAGATGTAGCCATAATCTCTTGCTCAGCAATGGGACCTGCACAACAAGATGTCCTGATGGCTACTTTGAGACTGACAACAATTCGTAAGTTGCAGTACAATGCTGGTCACATATTTTTTCTGTATATTACAGTATGAGGAGGGTATATATACAACCTAAGTTGAAAAATACTAAATGAGAAATGCATTTGTTTACACCTAACAGACAAAACGCTTGTAGTATGTCAAGCTTACACTAAACTTGCTCAGAAGAAATCATAAATACTAATGAATTACTATTGTCTGTTGCAGATGTGGATCTTGTTATCCACAGTGCCTGACTTGTGTTGGAGGCACCAACGCAGATTGCGCTGCCTGTAGAGCTAACTCCTTCCTTCATCGTGGGAAATGCGTTTATCGTTGTCCTAAAGGTAATGGGACAAGAGGCATTTTTCTAGAAACCTCAGTTACCATTGTTTTGAGTCAAAGCTTACTTCTGAAAATTATGTCATATCAAAAATTTGTTCTCACTTTTAGAAGTTATAACAGGGATTTTACTTCAGAATAATCAGTAAAGTCATTGATATTTCAGATGAGTTTATTAAAGAATTTATCACTGTAAAGTCTTCATAGCTAATGTTGCTTGTTGCAGGAACATACGGTGATGTAACAACACAAGAATGCCTGCCTTGCCCCTCTGGCTGTGCAAGCTGTACCAGTGACTCCTGCACTTCTTGCATCGAGGGCTGGAGGACCAAGTCTGGCCGTTGTGTTGCTCGATCCAACCATTGTCACCTCAGTAAGTCACCAAGAAATTGCCTCGATTGTGTAATCACTTTATTATCATTTTTTTTATTACTAAGACTTCTACAAAAGATATTATAATAAGAAAATTGTGTATATGCTTGCTATACATGTATATTCATTTGAGTAGTTGTAAAGTACATTCAATGAAAATATATATTTAGTTGTATTTGATTTTTCTTTTTCTTGTTCTTGAAATGAGCAGTCAGCTCACCCCTTTTAGAAATCTCAGATCCTTAATATAACAAAATCAATTTATTCCTGCACCTAGATGAGTATGCCAGCCCCTCTGGTACATGTGAGGCATGCCATTCATCATGCCTAGCCTGCATTGGCACCAGGGAGGACCAGTGCCTACATTGTGCGCAACAGCGGTTCCTGATGAATTCCCAGTGTGTCCAGACCTGTCCCAGCGGTTTCTTTGCCCAGCGTGGCCGTTGTTTGCCCTGCGCTCATGGCTGTGAGACCTGTTCCTCGTATTCCTCGTGCTCCTCCTGTTCTCCGCGATTCTACCTGCATGTGGATCAGTGTGTTGCCTCATGCCCTGATGGGTGAGTGTCAGAGGACGTGGAAAAGCGTGAAGGCTTTGATTTTGTGCTTGTTTAAAATTTGTGAAAGTGACCTATATGCTATTATGATATATATTTCCTAACTTTTTCTCCTATTCATTACTTATTTTGTGATAGGTGGAATAATTTAGGTAATCTCTAACAGCCATTTTCTATACCCATTTTAGAACCTACAGTGACAGAGGAGTTTGTTCTTCATGTGATGCCTCCTGTAAGACATGCTATGGGCCCAGAGTTGACCAGTGTGCATCATGCCAGAACGGATCCTTCCTGCTTGACGGCACTTGTCACCAGACCTGCCCAGAATCCCATTATCCTCAAGAGAGTGAATGTCTCCCATGTTACCACAACTGCAAGACATGTAGAGGTGAGTTCTCAGATAGGAAGTCATGGTGCTTTCTGATTTTTATATTTTTGATGACATTTATTTGTTAGGGTTATTATGTTATGTATTTATTTACTTTTGTGTGTGTGTGTGTGTGTGTGTGTGTGTGTGTGTGTGTGTGTGTGTGTTAAGTTCATGGCATTGTTATTATTTTATTCAATTCTTGCTTTGTTGTTATACATATTTTTAAAGCTATTTCTCTTTTCTTGTCTACTTGGTTTTGCCTCTTTGATTAAAGGCCTGTGCTTTTTATGTTTTCCTTACACAGGCTCGGGACTAAACGACTGCACCTCCTGCCGTGACTACCTCACCCTTGATGGCGGTATGTGCATTGAGTGCCGCTCAGGCAGGTACTATAACCTCTCCACTCAGAGGTGTGAGGCATGCAGTCCATCCTGCTTGACCTGCTCATCAGGAGGGGAGAGCAGCTGCACATCCTGCCAGTCACCCAAGTCCCTGCACACTGCCTCAGGCACGTGCCGCATCTGCTGTCCACCAGGCATCTTCGAGGAGGAACATAACACCTGCTGCTCTTGTGATCCCTTAACAGGTTTGTTGAAATTTAGGCTTGAGCGAGAAACCACAAGAGATATTTGGAGTTGAATTTACTAAATGTTAATTCAACATTTCTGCGGCTGCTTATGTAAGGCTAGTTGGCATTGTCATCTAAGTGGTTCATCTAGTTTATTTACTGATTGTCTGTCTTTAGTGAATATTTGGTTTGAATCTAGTAAACATTGATTCTTAGTAGTTAGAACACAAGTGTGGCTTCTCCATTCAAATATATATACTTTTATTTAATAGTTTCTTTAATTTTACTTTAATATGTACTGTCATGAATATTAGAATAAGGTATAAAAAAACTACATGAAGATATGTTATTCAAGTTACATATTCTTCCCAAACTGTGTAGATCAGGTTGGATTTTTTATATAATAGGATGAAGAAAAGCTAGTCTACCCTTCAAGCATTATATTATTTCCCATTTCATGTCACATGATACTTTTCTTGTACTGAGATCAGTGATATGATATATGGTGTAGACCTTGTCACTCAGAATTAAATACCACAATACTCTCTTCTTTGGCAGCCCAATGTTATGGAGCAGTGTCTGCTGACAAGAGAAGAATTGCCTTAAGCTTGAAGACTGGTCTCCATCAATCTCCTCCAGTAGAGACATACTTCTCGTCTGTCACATATTTAGTGGTTGTTATTTGTTCTGTGAATTTGTTAATATTTGGTGCTGTTTTCACTGTGCTTCAGGTGAGTTGAGTGTTTTTTTGTATGGTTTAGGGATCTAGAAAGTGTAATGATATGCATTTAGAGGATATGATAGGCTAGTGAATTGTATCTTTTTTGATATTATCAGATGTATTGCTTAACCCTCAGAGGGTAGCAAAATTGATTATTCAGAACACTACATGAGAACTTATGATGTATATGAGACTATCCTATTCTTGTAGATATGATATAACTATTCCATCACCAAAAATGTTTGGTTATGTCAATGTCTTTAAGCAATTTATTTCTACATTGATTTCCCTATACATCTTGCAGGCCAGATCAACAGGTTCCCTTTGTTGGAGAAGTGACTACGACTACAGCGCCCTCAAGAATGGGAGTATGTCTGAACGCGTTTCGCTCACCCTTACCCCATACACGGAGGAAGACTCAGAGGACGAGAGAGAGAATGAACTACTATACATGAAAACTTAAGGTGGCCTTCCTCTAGAGGAGAGAGTGAACTATGGTGCAAAACGAGACAGAAAGGAAAATTGTTTGCAAGGAGAATTGCTTTTTTGGGAATATGCTCAGAACCAGCAGCAAAATGACGCTACTGATAGTCTCGGCTCATAGTTAGAGAAATACTTAATTGATCCTCAGGTCAAAGTTCGTGGAAGCGTGGGAGAAGCAGAAGTAATGCATAGGTCTTGAATGTGAGATGTTTTATTTATTATATGTCATATCATCTTTTTTATCTATAATATTTTTTTTTATATACATAAATATATAGGGAAATTATTGTAGAGGTATTGGGGCACCATGACTATAAAGAAAACAGTGTTGTGTAATGATATATTGGTACCGTAAAGAAAAAAGAAAATTGGAAATGGCATATAAAAATGATGGCAAACATATCACACATATAAATTTATTTATGGTTATAGCTTTTAAATACTTGAATATTTAAATTCTGAGGTAAGCTTGTTGCTCATTTCACACAGTCTAATAGTCAAAGAAAGAGAAGAAAACAAATTGAGGATTTATAGCCATATATTTTACTTTATTTTTGACCCTTAAAAAATGTCCCTTTTCTCCCTGATTGATAATTGATTTCCTTATGTAGAGTACCTCTCAGAATGTGTTTTAGCTGCACCTTTTAGTAAGAGAAAAGAAGAAAAAAAAGTAAGAAACTAAAAGACATTACAGTTTACGAAACATGGGGGAATTGTGTGTTAGTATTTCTAATAATATTGTGCAAAGTTTTGTGGTGACCGGGAGAGATTTAGTGCAAGTGTGAATGTGTCATTCATCTCTTTTCTGTTTGTTCCAACTTGAAGAATTTTGATGTAAAAGTGCTTATTTTCTTCTTTTTTCAGTGTATGTGTGGCCTGATCACAAGTCATTTAAACAAGGAAAGAAAATTATTTACTTTTTTTTTATAGGAAAGTCCTATATACAGAGTAAGGTTTACCTCAGAATAATAAGAATATTTAGTCAATGACTGGAGAATGTCACCCACCTCAAAACTTAATTATAGATTACCATTGATTATGGTTGGACCACATTATTATTGTTAGTATTACTAATACAAATGAAAAACATTTTATAGCTCTAATTTTTATATTTTATATTGCATTATTTTGAGTTTGTGTATTGGGTATTATGCTTTGTGTATATCCAGTACATTAAAAAAAGGAAACAAATCAGTGTGTATAGATATGAAGTTGCCGATAGACATATTTTATAAGTGAATTTCTTCCCCCCCCCCCCTTTTTGATATTGGAATGAAGTATGGTGCTGTTGCAATGCTAAATACTTACTGATGTGATACAATATTGGGCATAAGTGTGCCACATAATTTCTATATGAAAATCAAGGACCACATCTTCAAACTCACGCAGACTGACCCTTTCGTTCTGGTCAGACATTGGTGTTCATGGAAATGTTAATTGCAGCTCTATACCGATGACACAAGGAGGGTATAGTCTAGTCAGAGTGACAGCCCCACATATGTGACGGCTCTGATGAGAAACCTCGTTCACAGATATTTCACGTACAGCATTTCTGTATAGGTCAACGAAATACTTCAGAAAAATGTTCTTTTAAGCAAGTATCACTTTCTTCCACCAAAGGTCTAAACTTCTTCTATTAAGTCTAGTGCTAATTACCTGATCTTCAAAGCAAGCAGTGATAAGACATTGAAACTGCTGATCTGATACTCTAGAAGGTGATGTTTGTGAGAAAAAAAAAAAGAGAGCAACTCTCGTGATCCTGATATATTTCTGCTTTTAGATTAAGGTAATTCTTCTTGAGATAAGGAGGGATAAAGCTGGTGTTTCAAGGGAGGGGGTTTCAGTGATTCAAAGGCAGTTCAGCAATGTTCCAAAATATTATGAACGAGACAGAAGTCAAAACAAATCTTCCTTTAATCCATTTAAAAAGACAAAATTATCCAAATGAAATCCTTGTTAAGATATGCATTAGAACCTGCAAACAGAAAAATCCCTTTTTTTCCATAAGATTATTCAACATATATATATTTTTTTTCTTTGGTTCTTTTTTTTTAGTAAAGTCTTAACTAAGTTTGTCACTATGTATATAGAAGATAACCGCGCTCTGATAAGTTATTCTCTCAGGAAAAGCAGACGTTTTTAGTCATTCACAGAGAGGAGTCAGTAAAGTGCTCAATCAAGGGGTCACAAAGATACATTGAGTTTGATGATTGTGGTGCCATAAATTATATAAAATATACTTCATAATGTCACAAACAAGGACATAATGCCTTGTGATAGGGTGGCCTTAATGAATAAATGTAGTTAGTCTTTTTATATTGCCCATGTTATTGATTATGTCCGTGTAATAGCCATGTTACCCTGTAAATGAGTTGTGTTCCCTCTTCAATCTGATTAAAACTATAATAATTTTGTTGAGATATTTTGTGAAATGTCTTCCCCATTCTTTCATTTTGAAAAGGAAAAAACTAAAATATTGTGATAATGCTTGCCAATCTCATTTTTCTGATTTTTTCCCAAGAAAAGAAAAACAATTTTTTTTTTTAATATTTGGAACTGGAAAATCATAATCCTTGTCATAGTGGTTGAAATCCTAAAGAATAGTAATTTCAAACGGTTACATATTTAGAATATGTGGTTTCACAAAAAAGTTTAAATTTCAGTAAGTACGTAAGTTTAGACTGAAGCATTTAGTGTAAACTCCACATTGGCTGTCAAAGGTGCATGCCTATTCTTTTCGTATGTACAACGCAGAAAGGTTGAACTGTCACTATGTCAAGATTATGTGCTAGATTTTATCCCTTTTTTATATATTTTTTTTTTTTTCAAAATTATTATTATTCTGTTGTGCAGTGTGCAATACTCACTTTTTGTAAATTTAGTAATCTTATGAGATTTTCAGTGATATGGTAAATATTGTACATTATGCATGCATAGTGAATGTGAAAAAAATATGTAAAAATATATGTGTCATTTAGTATTACTTCATTGAGAGCAAAGATAAGAAAATATTGAGTGAGTCCAACAAAGAAGTCCCTATGTAAGTGATTCTAATACAACACAGCATTTTGTTGGTATAAGTCAACCATCTTTAAAGGTCGTCCATTGTTACTATCTTGTTTGTAAACATTCTGATGATTACAGGCTATCCGTCGCTAATGAATTATAGAGAAAAGAGCATATCACTTTTTTCCAGGTCCCAGACACGTTCTGTCATGTTAGCCCAAAACATGTGATTCAAAGCAGCTTGGGAAACCTTTGACTATGATGAATAATATTGAAGGTTTGCATTTTGACTTAGTTAACTAGTCATTACTGTCAGAATAACTAATGCCAGAGACAGCTGTAGGTATATCTCCTTTATATGCTGTTTTTTCTTGCATTACTTGAAATGTTTTTAGCTTTTTGTATAAAAAATAGATAAATGGGATGAAATGTGACCATAGAAAATAAGCATATAAGCAAAGTAATTTTTGGGGATGATTTTTCACTTGTAACTACAATGAATCTATCATATGAAGTTTATTGACTTGATCATTTCTTCTTTTATTATTAATCAAAAAGAATCCGCACTAACATCTATCATATTTAAGTAAGGCTTTGATAAGGAATTTAGTTAATAAATAGCGAATGACCTGCAGATAAGCAGTCACATATCGAAAAGTAGTTGCAAGTCTCACTTGCGACTTAACACTACACGCTCTACTATATTTATTTATAGGTGATGAGGGCATTGTCATGCAAATCATGCTGAAAATTTTTGCCATTTTGTGCACAAGCGAAGGGAGAGGGACATTATCAGCCCCATAATTAGAAGGTGGGTGCATTCAATGGTAAAGAAGTCTGAAAGTTCCAGGCAGACTGAAACTCAAACAAAATTACTAACTTAAGACCTAGAAGATTTTTATGAGATTACATAAGCATGGATATTATTTATCCCAGAAATATTGTGGTAAAATAATGGCACAAATAATCTTTGGGTTAAACTTGAATAGAAAGTTGTCTTACAGGCTGCCCAGAGAAGTTTACTTGTAAATCAAGACTGATTATATGTAAGTAACTGATAGTACTTTCTCTGTTTGCCGAATGCAAAAGTATATTTGATTACAACATAGCAAACATCAAGTCATCTCAGTCTTATATTTTCTGACAAACAAGAATAGGTATTCTAGTTGAAATCTAAAATAATAAGAGCAGTTTCTCTGTGTATAAGTAAGAAAAATGAAATAAATTATGCAAAGGGATAAGTAGTTACTAAATAAGATTTCATAATACAAGTATAGGTATTTCTTACAGAGGTTAGATTTCATAACCTAGTACCTGCTAGGGAGTCATTGGTATCCAAAGTTAATGAGAATAGTCATCAAAGACTGTCAATGAATTAATATCATTGATATTTTAATTTAGGGAATATTTTGTAATTTTACTGACTGTTATATAAGAGCAACACTATTATTTTGTATTATATGGTAACAAAATTGATAAGCAATCTATGGGAAAGAACACTTGTGAAGTTGTGATTTCACTGATGAAAACTAAAGTTTTCTGTGACTAGCATCTCAATGACAAGAAGTTGCACAGTAAGTTGATTATCACTGTTTCATTATCTTTTCTTTTTGGATTATTGGTAATACATGCCATTGTCACCCTCCAATGTTTATATGGATTTTCTTATTAACTCCAGCCCACCAATCTTTTGTTTGTAAGATGTGTCACATCAACTATGATACTTTCACATTTTACAAAACACTTGAAAGGTTGTTTCTATACACATTAATATCCATATTTTCACCTTGAATGTGCTTTGTGCAAGAAACAAGAAATAATGTGTGATTACAATGGAGTGTGTGATGTGCTCTAGTTGGAAGTTGTAAGCATATACATAACAGTAGTAAAGCCATTAGCATCATTAGGGAAACAAGACTTTGACTACCTAGGTGGGATGCAGTTGCTTAACATTTTATTAAACATATAATCATTAGAGGACAAACAGACCTGGTCAGTGGTACAGACAATGAATGTATTATTATTATTATACATTTTATTTTTCTTATAGAAATTGTATATTTTCATAATTCTATTTATCACTTTTGTTATTAATTTTATTCAAAACTGCATGTATTATTCTGAAGATATTTCTATTCCCCCAATTTTAGTTATTTTTTATTATTGGTATAACTATCATTAGTAGTGGTTTGCCCATTTTTTTAAAATACTTGAATGAAAGGCTTGAATAATGGCTGGTGATAATCTATAGTGATTACCATTAGCCAAGGGGCAGTATTATAACTACAGTTTCAACTTCTTGTTCACAATACCACTGTGTGATGACAGTGAATGTTATAGTAACAATATACACTGTACATATCTTAGGAGTATATATTTAATAAAAGTGTTATACATTGCAAGACTTTGCTGTTGTTTTCTTCTGATTCCTAGCATGTAGAACATTAAGCTCACTGATAGAAGTAACACATCTGAAATTTTAGAGAGAGAGAGAGAAAAAAAAAACAGAAAGGTCTCTTTAAACATAATAATAAATAAAAAAAAACAGAAGTGGAAGCAAGAGGTACCTCTGATAACATATATAGGGTTATTTGTATTCTTTAGTTATGTATCAGCGACTGTTGTTTGAATCTTATTCACTGGTGTATCTGGTAGCTGGTATAGGTATCTTTGACTAAGGCAGACAAATGCACGCGCACGCGCACGCACACATTCACGCACACACACATGCACGAACACATACACACCAAAAGGAAAGTTAATTCCAATGGCTGGTATTTGCACTAGTTAGTACCCTATTCCTATATTTTCAGTTCTCCAGATGAATGTATGAATCACCGAGAACAAATTTTCTGACAGTGTTTACTTATGCTCACTCCCATCCTCTTAATAGCTTAACCCCTTGGTGCTGGGTGACGCCGATCGGCGTGTACACAAAGAGCTCGAAAGCTGGCGTGCAGCCGAACGAGCCGGCGGCGCGCCAAAGCGCGGCGAGCCAGTGATTCGGGCTGATGTCCCCTACTCACGCGCTCAAAGTCGGCACGCCGCCTTTGTTTGTTTAAGTGTAGAGTTTTTTTTTTCTTTTGTACACCCGGCGCCATTGGGTTAAGGAATGATCTAATCATTGTGAAGACTTAAGTTCAAAGAAAAGATAAAGCACTCAATTATGCATAAAGACGGAGAGAAAGATAGATTTTTAAAACCAGTATAACAAATTACTGACACAAAAATACACTGTGGTAACAGAAGTTAATATCTAAATGGTATTTTGTTTAAAGAGATAGCAAAGCACCAAATATATAATACTACAAATAATTATACAGAGAAGCAATACAAGGTAAAATGCATAATATTTTGGGCAAATCAATTATATATACATACAATATTTAACAACTTTTTGCTATAACAAAATTTGTAGTTAACCATAGCTATAGAGAAAGAACATCAGAACAATGTGTGTGTTAAAAGTCTCCTGGCATTATTTTCCTTCTTTCTTCCCTCTTCTTTGGACCATGTTAATGTCTGCAAAGTTTGTCATCCTTGGTGATTATAGACACGTTCTTCCTTAATATAGTTGTATAAAACACTTTTAGCAGTTCCATTAGTAAATGTACTAAAATAAAGTATTGTGGTTCTTCATGAATAGCTGCGAGTTATTTGGCATGTTTATGTATATACTGATTTAAATACTGGTTGGTTTTGGGTATATGGTTAGGATCAGCAAGAAAAAGTAGTAATTGGCTCCTTTTACACAAAAACACATAACCATTCTGGAAAAAACGTGCTGATATACACACTAAATTCATTAAATTCTTTACGTTCAACATCATAGATATTGTCTATGTAAAAGAAATAGTATTGTGCATATTTCTCATATAACTAAATGTGCATGTGTGTTTGTGTCACGAAAAAGTCCACCAAAGGAAAAGGAACGATGTCTTTGCAAAGTATGGGATAATTATAACCAATAGATACAATGAGAGAGAAAGAGAGAGAGAGAGAGAGCAGGATATCACACTCACTTCCTGATAGTCTAAGTAACCCCTTGGAAGGAAATTAAAAGACAATTATTATGCAAAATGAACGTTAACTCCTTTATACAACATATTACAAATACACTAAACATACAAACAAGGTGATACCAACACCATTTACATTTTTTTTTTTCACTTCACAAAAACACTGGGGGATCAATAGAACTTCATGACCCAATTGGGAGTTGCTGGTGATGTGTTGCACTTTGCAGCAGCGGACATTAAAAAACGCTACGAACTGAGGAAATGTATATAACTTGACATCCTGACTAGTTTGGAGCGTGACTGAGAGGGAAGAAGGGATAGGGGGGGACAGGCTGTTTATTTTATTTGATTTTTAATACTTTTTTATCATTATTATTATTATTATTATCATTGAGTTTGGCTTCCTCTACACCACCATCTTCTTCTAGTTTACTATGAAGAAAAAAAAAAAACAATAATAATAATAACAAATAAAGAAAATAGAGAAAAAGAAAAAAAAAAAGAAAAAAACAGAAAAAGAAAGAAAAAAATCTCCGAGATGCTACATCAAATTCCTCATTACTAATTGAATTATTCTTAAATAACCCATCATCAGTATATCTCTACCCTAAGGATCCAGTCGGCTGATAAGAATCCCTCGTCACAGCTTCCACCCTAAGTAACCCCTTGGAAGGAAATTAAAAGACAATTATTATGCAAAATGAACGTTAACTCCTTTATACAACATATTACAAATACACTAAACATACAAACAAGGTGATACCAACACCATTTACATTTTTTTTTTTCACTTCACAAAAACACTGGGGGATCAATAGAACTTCATGACCCAATTGGGAGTTGCTGGTGATGTGTTGCACTTTGCAGCAGCGGACATTAAAAAACGCTACGAACTGAGGAAATGTATATAACTTGACATCCTGACTAGTTTGGAGCGTGACTGAGAGGGAAGAAGGGATAGGGGGGGACAGGCTGTTTATTTTATTTGATTTTTAAATACTGGTTGGTTTTGGGTATATGGTTAGGATCAGCAAGAAAAAGTAGTAATTGGCTCCTTTTACACAAAAAAAGAGAGAAATTTTCATAACTGTAAATCCCTTACAAAAAAAAAAAGAAAAAAAATCATAAAAGTAAACTTGAAAACAAGTGTATTCTCGTTATTCAGTGACTAAGAGTTTAAACTATCATAATACAAGTGTACAGTAAAAATTACAATGAAAAAAGAAAAAAAATCATAAAAGTAAACTTGAAAACAAGTGTATTCCTTCAAATTTCCACAGAATGATATTGAAAAAGGTGCACAAAATGAGCACTCAGTTATATAATGCTGCTGCCACAAATCTATCATTGTACAACACAAAATAAGAATAAAATAAAAAGGAAAAGTACAGGAGAATTTTTCTAATTATCAAAAACAGTCTCAAAGAATTACTAAAAATTACTAATTCACTTTACACAAAAAAAGAGAGAAATTTTCATAACTGTAAATCCCTTACAAAAAAAAAAAGAAAAGAAAAACAAAATCAAGAGAAAAAAGGCCACTTGTATTCTACTTGTAATTTGCCTAATATGAATCAGCTACGGAGTGGTTGAATAAAATAAATATATTACAGATATTTCAACAACTAATAACACATGAGTACAAGAGAGTGAGCAGTAAAAATGTTTACAAGTCTCCTGAATAAAGACCAACTTTCAGATGTTAATCAGATGGTACCAGTTTTTCATCGGACTATGAAAGAAGACATTCTTAACCAGTGAAATCAGCTAAAATATCTATATTATCATCGTTTTAATAATTCACAATTACTGTTCTACGATACAGCAAAGGGACAAGGGGGTGAGTGTAATAAAAATAGTGTTATAATCCTCACTCTTTCCTTCTGCACCGGGCAGAAAGAATGGCACTTCAAAGCACAAGGAATCACATTTCATTTCATTTCTCTTTTGTGAGGGGAAAATCCAACTACCAGAGCTGTTTACTCCACTTGGACAGGGTTAGGAAAATCACCAGGTTTATATGATAAATATAATTTATTTACCAACTTTTTTTTCTTTTTTTTTGTGCTTTACTGTAAGGAACTCAGCCTGGTGAATAACCTTGTTAACAAATGTACATGGTATAGGAGTATATAGGTTACTTGTATATCCACAAAGTTGTAAAATTGCAGGCAGAGCTACATAGGATAATTTTACATCACCTTACTTCACCTTAGGCTATAACAGGACAGGCTGAATAACACACACAGCATACCTGTTCCACTCCCACTCAAGGTTTCGTGACGATCTCCTCATTCTCACTACTACGCATACCGATAGATAATATGTAAGCAAAGTCTACCAAGAGTTCAACTGGTATCCATTTTTTTTTTTTTTTACATTAACATTATTTTTTAATACATAAAGAGGCACTTCACGGAGGGACTTCAGTGAGTAGGTAAGGAAGACCAAATTTCTGAGGCAAAAGTCACCTGTGCAGATACCTCATTATCCATCTTTTTAGTTCTGGGAGAATGACACCCACAATGCAGTTCAAATTAAAGCACTGAATAATTCTTTATCTCTGGATTATCACCATCTACACAGAAGTGTTATGATCACATTCTTTCAAGTTTTTTTATTCGAAGTTGCTCATTCACTAGAAAACTTGTTAAACTTGTCCTTAGCATTACAAGGTAAAGAGGGTTGCAAGCACCACACAATGGTTGGTGCATCACAGTGTTTGGGAATCTTTTCTAAAATTACTTTGTAAGTTCGTAAAAAAAAAGAAAAAAAAAAGGAAAAGAAAGAGAAAAAAGTTTCAAAATATCTAGCACTGACACTGCAGGCGCACACATAAACAGCATGTGCCACTTTGTGATCATTTTCCCCTGTTAAGCCACACACTCACAGATCAGTAGTCTCATGAAATATGAGAAACAAACAGGGTTGGTTGCAAATGCTATCCATGCACAGTCACTATAATTCTTTGCTGCAATCTTGTAAGATTCACTGTTGGGTACATCTTTGGTTCAAGGTTTCAGACATTCATGCACATTACACTTAGGGAGAACATGTTCTTTGCCCTTTCAAGAAGTGTTCAATACTGCACAGAACAGTTCAGCATCCACAAGCAATAGAGGGCTTTGCATGCTTCTTGGCACATGAGGGATGGGGTTAGGGTCATGCGGTGAGGTTGGGGTACTTGTTTCACATAGGTTAGGAGTTTCATGATGAAGAATGTCATCGCTGCATTACACTGTTGTAGGAGCAGGTTCACTGGATTCATCTTATCAGATATCTTGCATACAAAGCTGCTATGCGCACTACAAGAAAATCTGCCTAACATCAAAAACTGGAAAGAAAGTGTTATATATATATATATGACCAATTCATATAATCCTTTTTTGAAGTCTTTCTGTAAACACTGTTGAACGAAGGTGCACTTCGTCATAAATAACTGCCATTCTTGAATTTTTGCTTTTAATTTACTCAGACTGCAGGTTTTAGGGTGTATCTCGACATACACTATAAAATCTGTCTGAAAAAGTCTAGTGTCTGTACTGGATTAGTGATTGAAAAAGGCCAAAAATAAATATAAATTAAAAAAAGAAGAAATAACAAGAAAAATTGCTTAGATATAATTCAAGAATTATCAATACATGGGAGGCTGTGCCATCAGCCTAAAATTTTGAGGAAAAGCTATTTTTCTTTAATATCTACGTAAAGGCCACATTGATAGGGAAGGGCAGGAGAGCCTTCACATGCCCTCTTCTTCCCTTTTGCCAGAAAAACATAAAAATAACTCGGCTCCTTGAAAATCTTGTGGATCAATCACACACTTTAGTTATTTCTCATTCACATTAATGTCAACAACTGTAACAAGATCATGTAACAGAACCCAAATATCTTTATATATATATATACATATATAAAATATTCTATAAACCTCATAGAAATCAACCTCTTTCTATTGCTCTGGCTAACCAATGTCCCTGCGAAGAAAACCATCAAGAGGGATAGTGGGAGAGAAAGAAAGAGAGCGCGCGTGACATCCAGGACCCTAATCCAATCTTTGGGGGGGCGTTGCACGTGTTCCCATTACAGGAGCTACAGCAAGAACCGTTGTTTGTAGGAGTTTTGAGAATCGGTTCATCAGTCAGCTTCTTTTCCACCTATGGCAATGATGAGGGCGGTTGTCAGTGGTGTGTTCTAGTACTGGTAGTCATCCGAGTCTGCGTAATCGGGGTAGTCGTCATCCACGTCCATGGAGTCGGCCGCAAGGTTGGTGACGGTGGCCGAGAGGGGCGAGTGCTTGTTGAGGCCTCCCCCTACACTACCACCACCCACCACACCCCCAGTCAGGGTTCGGCCACCTCCCGGACTGGAGTCTAAGGCATCATCACAACCCATCGACAGCTCATCTTCATCACCGTAGAACCTGCAAGACACGAGTTAGTGAGCAAAGTTTTTTAAAGAAGTTATTTTAAGAAAGAAATTATATGCTTCCCATGAATGAATGAAGGTAAGACCCAATCCCAGATAAGAAAATGACAGCAGACTCCAATCATCATTTAAAAGAGACAACAAGTTTTGAGCAGAATACAAAAAATAATCTGAGAAAACAATCATTGAACTGAGAAAAAAAAACAGATACTCATTACTCAAAGAAACTACAGAAGGTTTCCAGCTTCCTCAGAACATGAGAGACAGAAAGAGATATGATAAATGTCACACTCAGTAGTGACTAACAAAAAATAGTATTCAAGAAATGAGACAGGAAAAAGAGGGTATACAAGTACCTATTGTTAACATCATGATCTCTCACAATATAAAAAAAATTGAAATATGGAAAAAAAATCCTTCTGCAGTTTCTTGTATCAACATGAATAAAAACAAATGTACTTAGGGATGGGAAATCTACAATATCAATAACAACAAAAACATCAATCTACATTAAACAGGATCAATTCTTAATGATTAATTAATTTCAAACATGTCTTCTTTTAGCAACATCTTTTTTGCTCTTTATCATTATTAGTTCATGACAACCTTTATTCTTTAAAAAGAAATTTAAAAGAAAAAATTTGGTACTTTGCTGATATATATATTCATAATTCTATAGCATTTTACAGAAGCTCTAATAAACAGATCAGTGAGTGACAAACTATCTATAAATAAAACAATCCTCCTTTAACACCCAAAGTGCAATAAGCAGTGTTTTCATATAATATTCAGCAAAGTATTTGAATCCTTTTTTTAAATTTGTAAATTAAATTTTTTTGGTGAAAGCAGGGATATAATTTTTTTTAAGCAACAGGTATATAACATATTCTACAGGAGAAAAAATCCACTCTTTTAATCTAACATCTACATGCTGCATCTTTTGTTTTGTTTTTAATGCAAAGAAGCAGATGAGAACTAAAAAACAAAAAACAAAAACAAACTCCAATATATTGTATGCCTATCAATCTAGTAGGCTTTCTTTAGAGAGCAAAGAGAAAGAGAGAGAGAGGAGAAAGAAAAGGGTAAAGTGATTTGGTACAAAGGAAGAAAAACATGTACTGGCAAAATGTATAAAAATACAACATGGAAACATTAATGTGTGCACAGGAACTGCAGCAAAAGTGCACACACAGCATAAGAAAAGCACTCGCCATGCAAGTGACCAGAGGGTCGAGGGGGGCAGAAGGAACGAAAGAGGAGGAAAGAGGAGAGGAGGGGTAAGGGGACGAAAAGGGAGGGGGAGAGTGGGTGGGTCAGCAAACAACCCTCCCCTCTGCCCTATCCCCTGCCATTCACCCCCTACCCCCTACCCCTTGTCCTCCCAGTCCCCCCTGGCCCCCTCAGTCTCCCCAAGGCACACTGGCTTCCCACCTGTCAAGTGCACATCATCCTCACAGACTCTCCTCCACAATCCTGCAAGGTGCACAGTGCACTTAAGTTTCTCCACCACTATTGCCTGCACCTTCATCTAAAGTTCCACCCAAGAAGAACCTATATGGAAAGAATCCAGGGCACCTACGTTTATCATCGTCCTCGTAGTGAGGAAACAAGGGAGTTGGGGATGGTCACTGTTGATTAGGCTTGGAGTGATATTAAATTCTTCCTTTTTTTTTAGCTATTGGGTGTTTTGTTTTCTGGAACAGTGCAATTAAGGGAAAGGGATAGGGAGGGTTTGATTATCTCAAATCAAAAACAAGAGGAGTGCTAAGAACAAACACTTTATTCCCTGGATTGCATGATCAGAAATTAACTGTACAAAAATAAACCACACTATAGGTACTTTTCCCACAATTGCATAAAAGAAACTTTTTTGTAAATATGAGTATATCAATACCATTATTGAGAAAAAGCAAGGAGAGAATGAGTGAGTGAGTGAGTGAGTGAGTGAGTGAGTGAGATGTAGGTATAGGTTTTGATGTAAATGTAAATGTATGTTTAGAGGTAAATGTAGATGTTGGCATAGATTTAAATGTAGATGTAGATATAGGTTCAGATGTAGATGCAGGTGTAGGTGTAGGTATAGGTCTAGATTTAGATGTAGATGTAGATGTAGATGTAGGTGTAGGTGTAGGTATAGGTCTAGATTTAGATGTAGATGTAGGTGTAGTTGAGGTAAAGATTTAGACATAGATGTAAATATAATTAAGCATCTGTATATGCATGTACAAGAAAAAGAGGGAGAGTAAGAAAGAGATATTGAAATATATAATAAAACAGTCTTGAGATACAATAAACACCACTAAATTCTATACACTGAGAAAATCAGTGAGAAAATATCATAAAATGTTCATAACCTTAACAGACACAATCACAGGGCTTGGAGATCATTAATTGCTGAAAGGATAAGGAGAATAAAGGAATACCAGTGACACTACTCTGCCATAACAGATCAAGAGAATCAATACCTATGAAAAAAAAAATATATATCCAAAAATAACAATAACAGGTAGTTATAGAAAACATCTGAGCTATACGATGACAGAACCAGCTACTTCAAATGACACACATATTTAGCTTCTACTTCCCTTCTTACGGAAGGTCATGTCAAAAAGCCAAAAAGGTAAAGTGACACGGACAATGCAAGAAAAAAAAAAAAAAAAAAAAAAAAAAAAAAAAAAAAAAAAAAAAAAATCAATAAATAATAAAAAAATAAGTATATAAAGCAATGGACCAAAAAAAATTCATGAAATTCTACCATAAGAAGACGTTTACACTCATGCCAACAAGGAGAGGTACTCGCCTTCATTAGCACTAAGAATTACAGTAAACCTTGACAAACATTTTCATTTTCTTTTTCTCTTTTTTTGATTAAATTTTGCTGAAAAAAGAGAAACCCACATGATAGGTTGAGGTAATTGTGAAAAATCAGTAATTTTCTTTAATGACACTCTTTTAGCAGTGATATACTGGTCTCCTATTCTAGTTTTATATCATTTGCATGGAACCTAATCCTCAATTTCTCCAACTAAAGTACAGCAATAAATATCTATCTTCAGATTCCTTAAAGTGAAGAAAAACAACTCTAAAAAACAGAATTTGGAGGAAGTTGCTTTCTTAAAAAAATAAATAAATAAATAAAAGACACAATGGCAGCTCTTTTTTCCTCACTTATTCAGAAAATATGAGCAGGGAAAGTAGTTAAAATTAAAACACCCAAGTCAAAACACTTACAATCCTAAATTCATGAAGAGAACCTTCAAAAACACCCAAAAAAGTAAAATCAATAACTAAAACAAAAAGAATCAATGGGAAAAGAAATCACCATAAAAAAGAAGAAAAAAAAACAGAAGAAAAAAACAAACAAACTGAACCTACATATCATCCTGGTGGTCAGCTCCCCCTTCCTCCGCCACCAGCAGCTCGTACTCCTCAGCCGCATACCGATCCCACTCCGATACCTGCAGGAACTAGGAACAGTCATCCACAGTGTAGTGCATTTGGTCCTTAACATTCCTTTAGTTTAATTGCTATCATTATTGTTCATTGAAAAGTGGAATGATGATGATAGTATCAAGTCATTCACATTCATCAATGGTTTATATATATATTTTTTCCAAACTGCTAATATCATTCTAAATTGAAAGGAAACAATAATAATGATTCTGAACTAATTGCATATGTTAATACAACACTTTTCATGTAAATCAAATTTTCAGCATTATGGCCCTATCACTGTAAAACTACATAAATAGGGACAAAACAACTTGACAGCAAGCTTTTGGTGTTACTTTACATAACAGGACGTCATTAAAGAGGGTAACTACGAAATTTCTTCCCTTCCTTCAAATCCAATCCTAAACTTACTGTGCTGTCTCTGTGCCTCACTAACAGCTAATCCTTGCATGTGTTGCTATGATTAGACAATGTGCAGTGGATTATATTGTTCAGTTTAAGGTCTCTAGCTAAACTCATCCCCAAAAACATTACACACATGTTATCAATATATACATTAGACAATTAGAAAACTTGAAAAAGGGGTGCATTACACAAGCACTGGCCACTTTCTTTGTGACTAAAAGCTTGTTGACACAGAGTTGGGTTACTGGTTGCAATTGTCCATACTAGAATAGAATGAATGTATTTACAGATTAGGTGGTGAAGATAATGATGTAGTGTTTAATGTTGCATTAGCTGTCTTCACAAGCCCAACAGAAATTATTGTGAAGGAAAAGAAAGTATCAAAATAACACACAATATGGGCTGGTAATTGTCATCTAAGCTTGCTCCACCAATCTTTGAATCTAATTTTATGAGTCACTTGCACATTTTTAATCCTTAATTCCTTTCTCAAAAACTCAATAGGCTTTCCTTAACCACAGTATCTTTTAATCTATTATAGTTATGTCACAGGTTCCTATTCATGTAATAAGATTGTCTTATATCACACACCTGTATTTTTTTAACTTTCCTAAGCAATCTGCTTCTTGCATAACTGCATTCAGGATATCTGATATCAACTATCAAACAGTACAGGCTGCTCGTGGGCCATGTAACTGGAAAGGAACTACCAAAGTAGCCATGACTTCAACTCAACTCTCCAGCAAGTAGCAAGTATGTTAACCTTTCATTTGCAAGGCCAGTTTACAGACTGCTTACACTTGCAGCCAGTAAACTAGCTCTGTGTCAACAGGCTGTAAGTGGTTATGTTCTTAAGGTACATATATTTAAATGTGTACTAAACTAAGGACTATTAAGACCTATTTTAAGAAAAAATGAAAATCATTAGACCTATTATACACTGATGCTTTGGAAAGTTGAGATTCCTGCCATCCCGTAACAGCTTTTACCTTCATTTTCCTTGCAAGAAAGCTAGGATGTTTAGATAAAATCCAGGCATCATTAGACAACAAAGAGAACTGTCTCAGAAGCAAAAAGAAGAAGAAAAAAAAAACAAAAAAACTAATTAACACATACATAAATGTCCCAACAGTTTTTATTATCCTGAATAGTATACTGAATAATGAATGGTCTTTTATCCCCATACCTCTGGCCCATCATCCTCGGCTCTGTGTGATGCGAAGGGATCGCGCTGCTCATGGTCTAGGTATTTCTCGAGATTGAAGAACGTATCAAAGAATATGGGTGTCATGCGGCAGCGCTTCAGATCCCTTAGGGATATCTTGTCATCCATTTCTGGACGCACCATATCCAACATCTAACGTAATACAAAAAATATATATAAGAAGGCAAGATAAACAGAATATAAAAATTGGGAAAGAGTAAAAAATCACATATATCCAGACTTTCTCAGCATAGATTCTGAAACTGATACAAAGAAAATAGCTTTTTAGAATTGGCAAATGGCATCTCACCTGACAGAGGCAGTCATGGAAGGGAAGAGTCTCGATGCCGAGGGCCTCCATGCGCTGCAGCTGCTCCTCATAAAAGTATTCTAACTCATACATGGACAGATAGCCATCCCCATCCAGGTCCATGCACCTGTGGAAAAGAATAGAGAGATGAGTATTTATGTTGTGATGTTTCTCTAAGGATCAATGGCTGTGTGTAACCTAATGATTCAAATTTCATACTTAAAACTTTGATCTAAAGTAATATGATAATCAAAAACAGGATATTAACAATCTCAAACATGATCACCACAATAACATTAATAACAGAAAACTTGATAACATTAACAATGCCAATAGCAAATGAAAGAATAAATCAATACACAACAATGCTATCAACAACTGTCAAAACTCTCCAACTCTCAACCCTCCCAACACACCTGAACCAATATTCAATGGCTGTGGGATGCCGTTTGTCCTCCTCAGATATTAGGAACCACACGAACTCCTGGTAGCCCATGCGGTCCTGCTTCTGCAGCCTTCCTCTGGTAACTGCGCCGCTGAATATTCGCTCAATCATGCGCCACGACAGCGCTGGAAGAAATGACAAAATGAATGAATGACTACACGAAAAATTTACCATGTGACAGAATTACAGAAATTATGGAAGGTAAAACTTTGCAACCTGATGGAGAACCAAACATCTAACAACTTTTTAAAACACAAATACCATCTCACAAACCAATACATTCATATAATACTGAATTGTTTCACGGTTTCCTTCACTGAGAGACACAATTATCGAAAGCACAACATACAACAAAAAAACACCGGGTAACTTCTTCCTCACTCACCTCTTTCATTATGTTTTGCAAGATCATGCTTGTCAATGAACAGGTCATGATCTGTGTCCAATTCCCAGAACTTGCAATAAATAACATAAAAATGCTCATAGCTGAAGTAATCAGTGATTTGGTTAATATCTTCTTCTTCCTCTAAATAGCTTATAACCTGAAAGTAACAAGGTCATGTATTAGAACTTCCATTTTCATTTCTTAAAATCAACCCTATACTACGTATACATAAGCTACTTACATCTATATTTATATCCATATAAAAGAAATAAAGAAAAGAAAATATCTGATATTAAAACAGAGAGAGAGAACAAACAAGCAAATTACTGTAAAAAGAGCAGCATAAACTGTTTACCATGGGTTTTAGAACAACAAAGTGGTCAAGGCAGAAATATCACTGTCTAGTTGTAACAAGGTTAACTGACATTTTAAAATAACTTACTTGTAACAAGTTTGATCTCCTAAGTTCTGGAACTGTTATTCTACCTGACCAGGATCTATTTACACAATAATATATTCTTGCTATGACCTGTAAAAGGGAAAAAATATGGTTACTAAATTTCAAAGTAAATAAAAAGGGAATAACATTCATAAAATAATAAAAATCAAAGTAATAAGATTGTGAAGTACTATAAATAACTGTGATGGTGAATCATTAGCTGTATAGTATATTATTTCCTAAATCACTTTACATATGAATTTCTAGGAATACAATCCACTGCAACTTTATTAACTGACACATTATATATAACCTATGTACTACTAGCTATATCCCATTCCTGTTGTAAGGGCATCATAAGACCTTTTTTTCTTCCTCCTTAAAATCTTCAAGGAGATCTACAAGTTTATGCCTAAAGCTTTCTTTTAATTTTCCCCTCTGTAAATACTAACAGCAGTGGCTCAAAGCCTCATTACACCATACTCACTGTATGAACATATCTGGAGTGGAACTCAGTGGCTTCCTTGAGGAAGGTGAGGCCAGGGTGGGTGTCCACCACATCCTGAATCATGCTAAGAAAGTCCTCTGGCATGAGGTAGTTCCGGACGCCACGACTCAGCACTCGGACAAAGCGAGAGGCCATGTCGTGGCAGGTAGAGATCACTCTGTTGGGACAAATCACATAGTTTAATTATTTTTGAGTTCATTACATCCCTAGCTGAAGTAACTATTGTCAGCCATGTAATCTCCATATAAACAACAGAGGGAATGTGCAGCCACTAACCCTCCTCCGTCGTTTCTTTCCACAAGCACCCTGAGACCCTGGTACTAACCCCTCCCTGACCCCCTTGCCCAGTCGCTCACTGACCTGCTCCAATAGTCTGAGAACTGCTCCTGTGTGAGGTAGCCCAGCTTGTCTCCACCAGCAGCAATGAAGAGAGGAGCCTTCCAGTAGAGTGGGACTTGGCAAGCCCTTATCAGTGGCTCCATGTTGTCCCGTGTTATCTGACCTCCATTCTCTCGGAACACAGCGTTGACCCGTGATATTGACTGCTCCTGGGACACCTGGGTTGTGGGGCGGCCCATAGGGTAATAGAATCTGAAACAAGACAGGTAAAACATAAGTCAAAAACTCCACATTTTATAAGCTGACTTAAGAAGAAGAAGAAGAAGAAGAAGAAGAAGAAGAAGAAGTAAATGGGGTGACAGAATATCTTCTATGTCTTAAAAACCATGGAGTAGATACTAAATTTAAATGTTCTTATGATACATAAGCATTCATTATGCACAAACTATGACCTCTTCTGCACAGAATACCTCTACATAACAAAAAAGATCACCTGTAACCTTGATCCTCTGTTGCAACTGATAAAAATTGAAGGACACACACTTCATAAAATCTATCTTCCCCATCCATCCTATGCCAGAAAAACAATTCAGCTGCTATTGTTGCATCTCCAAAACTTTTAAAGACATAGACTTATAATAATTACCATGATAAGACCTTTGTTATCTACACGCGAATATCTCAGACTGCGTTGGATTCCACCTGCCGCTCCATCTGTTCTCCCTCTGCTCGGAACTTTCTACCCTGTTAAAGTCTTCTTTGGCCCATTACTTCCCTCCAGGTCAGACTTCCTTTTTGTCACATTTACCAGAAGCTAGAACAGGTACGAGCTCTCAGGCATTGTCTCAGTTTCTCTTTTCCAATCTTTTGAGGCCATGTGCTCTTTTTGCTAATTTTGTCTTACAATTAAGGTGACAAAGCCGATTGGATGACTCTTTTCAACCGCAACGCTGTAAATGCAATATATCGCGCTTTTTGGAAATAAGCTTTCATCGGGAGAGTGCGTGTAATTATTTTTTCCTTCTTCTTTGGTGTGTGTGTGTGTGTGTGTGTGTGTGTGTGTGTGTGTGTGTGTGTGTGTGTGTGTGTGTGTGTGTGTGTGTGTGTGTGTGTGTGTGTGTTTGTGTGTGTGTGTGTGTGTTCATGTGCATGCATGTGTGAATGCGTGAGTTTGTGTGTGAGTGTGTGTTAGTATGAGAGTGAGTGTAACTGTAAGTGTGAGTGTATGTAACTGTGAGTGTGTGTAAGTGTGTGTGTAATTTTGAGTGTGTAGGTGTGAGCATAAGTGTGAGTGTGTAGGTGTGAGCATGAGCATGAGTGTGAGTGTGAGTGTGAGTGTGAGTGTGAGTGTAAGTGTGAGTGTAAGTGTGAGTGTATGTGTGAGTGCAAGTGTGGGTGTGAGCATGAGTGTAGGTGCGTGTCCCGTGTGCGTTTGTCTCTCTTTTGCCCTGTGTCTCGTGTACGTGATTGTTTCGTGCATGTGTATCTCACGTGCATTTGCGTGTGTGCATATGTTTGTGCGTGCTTGCTGCCGAACGAAGCTAGACTTGAAGGCTTCTTTTTATCACCGAGTTCCCCGGCACCTTGACCTTTTAAAACTTAATATTACCTTGCGTTTTAATTGAAGATGATTCGCCGCGCCACGCTCTAATTAACGAAAATATCAATCTGCGCAATTCTATCTGATACAACGGATTTTTTTGAGGGCGCGAATTTCCTTGAAAAATCTCTTCGCTAGCCACTCGACCTTTGCAACAGTTATCATAATTTGCAAATCATAATGTGAGTTCGTTAATCAATAAATACTTTAACCGTGACTGCTGGGAGTACTATCCTCATCACCACTCCTATTACCACTATCGTTATCATGATCATTATCACTATTACTAACACCACCGTTAATAACAGTACGCCATCTTTCCTTATTATTTTCACGGCCATTTTCTCCCGCATTCAACAGACGCGCACCGGCAACGACGAGGGAAATTATAAATGCATGATCGGGTCGTTATCGTAACGGTTTGGCGAAGGCGGGAAGATCATTTGCGATAATGGAAGTCTCGCGAAAGGAACAGGAGGTCACGGGAGGGCACCCCGGGAACAGGGATGCCACGAGGTCAGGTCGCGGGACGGCTCCCGTGACCCCCGGAACGACCCCGACCGGAGTTGAACCGCTGGCAAACCCAAAGGACGGGAGGTGAGAAGAGCATTAGTAAAGGAAGAGGAGCGGGAGGGGAGCGAGAAGAAAAGAGAGAATGAGAATAGGAAAGAGAAAGCGAGATTATATATATATATATATATATATATATATATATATATATATATATATATTGAGAGAGAGAGAGAGAGAGAGAGAGAGAGAGAGAGAGAGAGAGGGGGAGGGAGGGAGGGAGGGAGGGAGGGAGGGAGGGGGGGAGAGAGAGAGAGAGAGAGAGAGAGAGAGAGAGAGAGAGAGAGAGAGAGAGAGAGAGAGAGAGAGAGAGAGAGAGAGAGAGAGAGGGGGGGGGGGGGGAGAGAGAGAGAGAGAGAGAGAGAGAGAGAGAGAGAGAGAGAGAGAGAGAGAGAGAGAGAGAGAGAGAGAGAGAGAGAGAGAGAGAGAGAGAGAGAGAGAAAGAGAGAGAGCGAAAAAAGCTAAAAATATATATTCCAACAGACATAAAGATATTAACCGAGACGGGATGCGACGGGGGGTGGAGTGGGGGTGGGGGTGAAGGGAGCGCTCTCGTCGAACAGCTGAGAGAACAGCCCAGGGAATGTTAAACCAATGACGCAATCACGCACCGACCGCGCACGCTCCGCCGCCGCACGCACGCACAACACATGGCCCGTCGACACAGCTGCAGGCCCGAAAGTCAAAACTAAAGGCATTAAATTGGTATTTCTTCAAGGGCCGGGCATGGTTGAGTCTACGAAATTATACGAATTTCTTTTCAGTTCGCAGTTCGTGCCTTTTTTAGCAGTAGTAGAGAGGTGAGAGAGAAAGAGAGAGAAAAGGAGAGGGAAGGAAGGGGGAAGGAAGGGGGAAGGAAGGGGGAAGGAAGGAGGGAGTGAGAGGAGAGAGGAGAGAGGAGAGAGGAGAGAGAAGAGAGAAGAGAGAAGACAGAAGACAGGAGAGAGAGAGAGAGAGAGAGAGAGAGAGAGAGAGAGAGAGAGAGAGAGAGAGAGAGAGAGAGAGAGAGAGAGAGAGAGAGAGAGAGAGAGAGATCAACAAATATAAGGCATAACATGATAAACATCAGGAGGAAGAGGAAGCCATGAGATCCTAACCTTGACAGAATCAGGCACTCTCCTTCTTCCTCCCTCCCCCGCCTCCCCCACCCTCTCCCCCACCTGCCTCCGGCCTCAGATAATTGACTACCAGGATCATAATAAGAGAAGTCCCCCCCCCCCCAAGGATCAGGTCAGCCGAGGGCGCCTCCGCCACACCGCTACCTGACCTCTCCTCGCAGGGAAGAGGAAGTCCTATCTACCCCCTTCCCCCCCCATAATGCTTGGCCTGCCTTGTCCCCCGGAAGTCATCACAGCTTTTATCTCATCTCGGCTCCCCCCCCCTCCCATCTCCCCCGTTCGCTTCCGTCACAGGAAGCAAAATATATCGACACCCGACTATGCTTTCCCTAATCAAAACGACAGAAACAACACTTTCGAAATCCAAATGACTCCAAAAACAACCGCACAAACAAACAAACAAACAAACAAACAAACAAACAAAAAAACAAATACAAAAAAAGACCTAACCCCGCAGGCACGCACGAGCACACCGGTCCGCGCAGGCAACAGGTGCGGCCGATTACAGGTGTCTGGCGACGGAGGAGGTGAAGGTCGGGCTGCGCTTTCCCGAGGGCGCAACGCACCGCCGGCGCCCGAAACTATCACTTTTTTTTCAATGTCTCTCGGCCTCTCTTCCTGGATTTCTAATAATTTCCTTTTCGTCGCGTGTTTTCGAATGCCTGGTTGATGACTTTCCATTTTATTTTTTTTTCGTTATAGCAATTTTCTCATTTCCTATCCACTGCTTTCATCCGATTACTGCAATTCCGTATTTCCAACCGAGATCCCTATCGCATTTCCACTCAGTTCCTATCCATTTCTGCCTCCTCTCCCTAAAAAAAAACTTACAGAAAAAGCCCACTCCCGTTTTATTTTTTCATCCTTTTTTTGTTACTCCTCTTACACATTTCCTTTTCTCTCCCTTCTCCCCGCATTCTTGGCATTCCTCTCCCCCCCCCAGTCTGACGGGCATTTCCCATTTTACCCTTTACTACGACGCTTAATTAAACACAAGTGTCAAGGACACACTCTCTCTCTCTCTCTCTCTCTCTCTCTCTCTCTTTCTCTCTTTCTCTCTTTCTCTCTTTCTCTCTTTCTCTCTTTCTCTCTTTCTCTTTCTCTTTCTCTCTTTCTCTTTCTCTTTCTCTCTTTCTCTTTCTCTTTCTCTCTTTCTTTCTCTCTTTCTCTTTCTTTCTCTCTTTCTCTTTCTTTCTCTCTTTCTCTTTCTTTCTCTCTTTCTCTTTCTTTCTCTCTTTCTCTTTCTTTCTCTCTTTCTCTTTCTTTCTCTCTTTCTCTTTCTTTCTCTCTCTCCACCAATCTCTTTCTCCTCCGCGCCAACTCCCATTTACTTCTTAATCCCCCCCCCCAATCCTTTCTTCATCTCTCCCCTTCCCTCTCTATCCCCCTCTCCATTCTACTCCTACTCTCCACATCCATCTACCCTCTTCCCTAATTCCTTTCCTTCCCCCTTCCCCCTCCCCCCCCCCACTTGACTTCCTCCTCTTCCCTTATCCGCTTTCTGGGTCACGTCAACAGCATCGGGGGCGCATTGTAGGCACTGTTAACAGAAAGTTTCCTGTTTGGCGTCGAAGTCTCTAATCAAACGGGTGATAAACGAGCACAGACGGAGAGGAATATGAGAGAGAGGAAGTCGTTAAAAATCAGGGAGGAAGGAGGAACAAACATTAGTGGAAGGATTATTAAAAGAGAGAGGGAAAAAAAAGGTGTTTGGTCCTATCTTTATCTCTGACTTGTTGCTACCTATCGTTTTATAGCTGTTTTTTCTTCTTCTTCTTCCTTAAATTATTCTTTCTTGATTTCTGACACGTTTACGCTTTAAGATTTCAATTTTCCTTCATTCGCTGTGGCTCTTCCTCCTCCTGCAACCGCCCATATCTTTTCATATTCTCTCTTTCTCTCTCCCTTCCTTCCTACATCCCTCCCTCTCCCTATCCCACCCTCCCTCTTTTTCTCTCCCTCCTCCCTTCCTCTCCCTCTCCCTCTCCCTCTCCCTCTCCCTCTCCCTCTCCCTCTCTCTCTCTCTCTTTCTCTCTCCCTCCCCCCTTCTCTATTTCTCCAAGGTCGCGTGTGAGTCAGCAGGAAGAGCGGACAGATGGCAATTGCAGATAAGAAGAACCACCGTCCTGCTGCAACATCCTGTCACACGCGTTGCTTCGGCTGCGGCAAGGCGAACGGCAGGCGGCGGAGGCGAGGTGCTGCGCCGGAGACAGGGCAGGGCCACGGAGGGCACGGGTGGTGCGGAGGGAGGGAGGGAGGGAAAGGGAGAAGGAAAGGAAGGGACAGGGGGAGAGGGAGAACATGTGTATGTATATACATTATATATTTATATATATATTTATATATATATATATATATTTATATATATATTTATATATATATGTATTTATATATATATTTATATATATATATATATATATATATATATATATATATATATATATATATATATATATATATATTTATATATATATATATATATATATATATATATATATATATATATATATATATACATATATATATATATATATATATATATATATATATATATATATATATATATATATATATATTATATAAGAAGAGAGAGAGAGAGAGAGAGAGAGAGAGAGAGAGAGAGAGAGAGAGAGAGAGAGAGAGAGAGAGAGAGAGAGAGAGAGAGAGAGAGAGAGAGAGAGAGAGAGAGAGAGAGAGAGAGAGAGAGAGAGAGAGAGAGAGAGAGAGAGAGAGAGAGAGAGAGAGAAGAGAGAGAGAGAGAGAGAGAGAGAGAGAGAGAGAGACGAGAACGAGAACGAGAACGAGAACGAGAACGAGAGAGAGAGAGAGAGAGAGAGAGAGAGAGAGAGAGAGAGAGAGAGAGAAAGAGAGAGAGAGAGAACGAGAGAGAGAGAGAGAGAGAGAGAGAGAACGAGAGAGAGAGAGAACGAGAGAGAGAGAACGAGAGAGAGAGAACGAGAGAACGAGAGAGAGAGAAAATGAGAGAGAGAGGAAGGGTGGATAGTCACCGCCGCAGGCCCAAAGGCCCGCATCCAACAGTGCCTCGCATCAGGAAGTGAAAGTCTCGTGACAGGAAGATCACAATACAGATGTAAGTTCCTGTTGTGTTTGTTCGGAAATGACTTTATGGTGTTTTTAGCGCTGAAAATACCCTTCCTTCAATGTATGGGAACGTTGCAGGGTTGTTGTAGTGAGCGTCCCTGCAGCCCAAGGTATTAAAAAAAAAAAAGACTAAGGATATGAGTGATATTAGGAAAGAATTTGCAGACAATAGAACGCGGAGATAATGAATAAATTAGGGGAGGAAGCAGGAAGAGAGAGAGAGAGAGACAGGGGCATTGCCACATACACACATACATGCAAATGTATAACATGTCATGGAAGCCAGGTAAATGAGGGCATGGAAAGGGGAGGGGGGGGTTAAAATGAGGGAAAAAAAACGGGTCTTCCTCTACCCCCCCCCCCTCCTCCGATTAACCCCCACTGTTCCCTTTATTGCCATTACTACTGTCATCCTTCCTGTATCCTCATCTCCTCAGCTCCCACTTCCAACTCCTCCCTTCGCCTACTACTCTCCCCCCCCCCCCCGTTCCGGCAGAAGAGACCCCCTCCCACCGCGCGGGAGGACTGGCGCCCTCACGCCCGCGCGCTCTCGCCTTCTTACCTGGGTATGAGGAGGTTCTTGGTGGCCTTCGTGTGGCGGCGGATGGTGTTGGTGGCCCTCGGGGACTGCAGGGGCGCGGGGGCCGAGGGCACGACGCCCACGGGGGAGCCGGGGGCGGGGTGGGCGTTGTGGGCGACCCCGGGCGTGATGGTGGCCGAGGTGGTGCTGACCGAGCCCTGGGGCGTGGGCGGCGACAGCGGGGACACGGGCGTCGTGGGCGGGGATGTGGGGAGCGGGCGGGCATTCTCCTTGTGGGCGGCGCTGTTCTCCCGGACGTAAGTCTGTGAGGGAAGAGAGAGAAAAGGCGTGAGAAACAAGCGATAATCCGAACACAGCATACGAGTGGAATGAATGAAATCCCTATAAGGGCGTAAATAAATCGAGAAAATGGAAATGTACCCGAAGAAGGGGCCGGTCTTCTCCAGGTCCCTCCTCTGGGGCCCGTTAGCGCTGTGACCTGTAACATCCAGTCCTGACCTCCCTCGCCCCGCCCGCCCCATAACAGCCGCCAATCCCTAAAAATGGGTTCCTTGACTCCCACTCCTCCCTTCGCCCCCCCCCCCTCCACGCCTCCATTCCTTCGCTTGACCAACGCCGCCCCCAGTCCTACTCCCTTCGACCTCAACTCTTGCTCCTTCGTCTACTTCCACTCCTCCTCCATCTGCAATGTAGCTGTCACCCTCGCTCGCGCCCCTGATCGATCGCCTGTGACTCGTGCCTTTCCACCCCACTCGCAACACTCCTCCCTTCCTCCCTTCCTCCCTTCCTCCCTTCCCTAGCGTTCTCGAGGTGGTAAGCTTACATACACAGAAACATACACACACAAACACGCACGCTCACTCATGTGCACACACATACACGCACATACACATACGCAAACACATACATAAGCTTACGTAAGTTGGTAAGCTTACATACACAGAAACATACACACACAAACACGCACACGCACGCACTTGCTCACACAGCGACAACCGCACACGAAGTCCCGGCGGCTCATGAGCCTCAAGAGCGGTTGGGCGAGACAGCGGCGCCCCTTCCTACAAGGTCATGGCACACGCCAGCCCAAACCACCGCATCGCCATGTACGGGCGTGGGTGTGCGCGCGTCTGCAGGCCGAGGCATCAACAACACCGCTATCGCCGCCTGCCTTTCTCCTCCCTCCCGTCCATACCCCCTCCCCTCCCCTCCCTACCCACACCCTCAGGCTCCCCAGCCTCGCAGTTCAACGGCGGTTCATTCATTCATAACCTCCGCCCATTCAGAAAGGTGTGTGTATGTTTGTTCTTTTCTCTCTCTCTCTTTCTACGCGACGAGAGCGCGCGCGAGTACACATATATAGACGCACAACCGACTTTCCCGTGTCATTGTCTTTTTGTTTTCTTTTCTTTTTTTTAAGAGGATGCACAGAATACACACACGCACACGAACACAGACGCAAGCTGACCTCCCACCGCAATTATTATTTTTTTCTTCTTTCTCTCCCGCAAAATTCGCACGAGAGTACATAAACACTCACGCAAGCCGACCTTCCATTTGTTTCTTCCTCCGCGAACTCCGCCGGCGACAATGCATCATCAGCGAACCTTGACACACACTGGCAAGGAAGTCGGAGGAAAACAATTAGAAAAATGAAGGAAGGAAAAAAAAATCCTGGAAAAAAGTAATCCGAGCCGCCATCAACGCGCCGAGATCGGTAGTTGCGGCAGCGTTAAAATCCTCGCCCGTGCGCCGTCTGCCTCGCTCTCCGTCCGTCCGTCCTTCCTTCCTTCCTGTCTCTCTCACTCTCGCTCTTCCCCTAAAAAAAATCGTGACGAAAGCTGACCTCCTCTAGGCGACACTCACGGACACTGGGCACTCTCACTCACTCACTCGGCCTGTCTGTCGCTAACCACTCTCTCTCTCTCCTTCCCCATCTCAGTCCGTTCGTCCCTCAGTCTCCCCCCCTCCCCTCTCCCTTCCTCTCCCTCTCCACCTACCTCCCTTCGTATCTCTTTTTTCCCTCCCCTCCCCCTCCCTCTCTCCTCCCTCTCCTCAAACCCCCCCTTCAACAACAACTGAAACCTCTCACCCCAGCCCTTCCGACGCACCGACGCGCCCCGAACGCCATTCCTGTCGGAGATGCGCGAGAGAGTACGCAACCCCCTCCCCCCTTCCCCCCACTCGAACGCCCCCTCCTCCCCTCCCTAACGAGCAATGCGCAATTCCCTCCTCGAAGTTTAAACATTGTCATGCAACTGGCCTCGTGGTATCTCCTTTTACGTGGTTGAGTCGCCATCGATTTGTGCATGTTTACCTTTTCGAATTGTAAAAAAAAAGATGATAAATAGAATAAAATCAAATCAATAAATAAGTAAAAATCAAGTAAAAAGCAGGATTTTCACTTAGCGAGAGATCTAGTGTCGGCAACATAGGATGAAAGAATGAAATCATGAACGGACATTAATCTATGGTGCAGCAGGACAGAGCAAAAATCTGAACAGAACCACAATTAACCAAATCAATAAAATTTAATTCTACGGGGAGATTTCCATCCACGTATTTGCACGCACATACACATACACACATACACATACACATAAATATACACACATACATACACACACACAACGCACACGCACACACAAAGGCGTTCTCATGTGAATCTGTGCCATAAGCGTTTATTTACTCTCCTTGTTACGTTTTCTCGGCATCTCAATTCAACAGTAGACAAAAATGAGTCTCATGAAAGTTCAAAATGCCCCTCACGATGACCGCGCACTCATGCACTCCGGTAATGAG